ACGGCCCGCGGCGCCGCAGCCGGCTGCCGCTCCACGTCGCCAAGGAAAGTTTCCCCGGCCGCCGGCGGGCAGCGGCCGCGCGCGGAGCCGGCACCCCGGAGGCCTCGCGTGGGGACGCAACGAGGGGACCCTGAGCGCGCGGCCCACATCGCCGGCGACACCGCGGAGGGAGGCGCGGCAACGCGCGGGGCGCCGGCTCCACGGAGGCCAGGTGGGGAGGCCGAGGCAGGGGCGCGGAGGGCCGGGGCGGGGCGCGCGGTACTTACTGCTCACGGGCGGCCGCGGGCTCGCCGGGCCGGGGCTCTGTCCATGGAGCAGCAGCAGCGACTCCAGGGCGAAAGTTGGCGCGGGTGCACGGGCGCCCTGTCCTCTCCCCGCTCCCGCCGGCCGCTGTCCTCGCGGGCGCGGAGCGGTGGTTATGACGAGGGAGGTGGAGGCGGGGAGGAGGGGCTGGGCGGGAGGGGGGGTCCGCGCGGCGGGACCGGGACGGCGGGACAGGCCGGTCCCCAGCCGGCGGACGCGGCGAGCGCGCGGCGGGCGCGGAGCCGATCAGTCGCGTTGAGTCATCCGCGCTGAGAGCCCTTTTGGGCTGTCCTCGGTTTCCGACTCCCCTCCCCCGGCGTCCCGATCTAGCGCCTTCAAAATACTAATTCGGGGCGGGGGTAGGGACGGCTCCGGTTATTTCGGGATGGGCACGGGGGACGGCCCGCCGAGCAGACGGTCCGCGCGGGGGCGGGCACGGGGAGGGGTCGGGGGAGGGGCCGCGGGGCGCGCGCCACCCGCGGGGCGACCGCGCGGGGCCGGGGCCGGGACGCGGCCGGGTGCACGCCGCCCTGCCCGCCGCTGCCGGGACAATGGCGGGGTCCTCGGTGGCATCCTCGGCGGCCCCGGGCTCGGGTCCCCGCGCGGCAGGGCCAGGGCCGGGCGCACGCTTGGGCGCAGGGACTCAGCCTCCACGCGCGAGCGTCCCCACCGGGCCCGCGATGGCGCGACATCGCCACCAACTTTCCCGGCTCCCGCGGCCCGGCTCCGCCGCGGGCTCCTTAAGGTGGCACAGGGCTGCCCGGGCTCCGGGGCGCACTCCTTCCCCGCCGCCGCGCCCGCGCGCCAGTCCTCCTTAAGAGCGAGCACGTGGGCAGGGGCCGCGGCCCCGCGACTGCCCCGGGCGTCGGCGGACACGCGCCGCGGCGGCCGTGGGCGAGTCCGTGTGGATGCTCCCCGCCGGCCCGAGGCGCCTCCATCCCGCCCGCACACCTTGGCGCCTCCCAGTCTCCGGACCCCAGGGACGCCCACGGCTAGCCGCCTGCGCGCTGGTCCCCCTTAAGAAGCGCTGACTGTACGGCGGCGCCAGAGGGCCAAACTCGATTAGATTTCGGGAAACGCGCTCAGGGCCAAGCTGGAAACCTGGGATCCGCGCGCGGACCACGAAGAGCCGCGTCGCCAACAGCACCAGGTACCCTGTGCCACTCGCTAGAACGACCCCGGCGCACCCGAGGGGCGCCGTACCCGCGGCTTGGGAGGCGTCGGAGCCTCAGGAAGAAGAGGGGTCCCGGGAAGGAACCCGGCTCCGGACCCCAGGGAAGTCCGCGCCGGACCGCCCCCCCCCCCCCCCGCCTCAAGGAGCGCGCGCGAGCCAGGAGGCGATCGAAGCCCGGCGGAGGACGAGGAAGCTGGCCGGAAGGGCCCCAGGCCGTAGGGTAGGGGCCCCTGGGGTCTGGGCCGGACTCCTCCGGTTCTCCTCCCAAACTGCGCCGCCCCGCCCCCACTCCGCCGTCTGGGCGCGGGAGGCCGTGGACCGCGCACCTGGCCGCGCACCACACCCCGGGCCGCCCGGACCCCGCCGCAGGCGCCGTCTGAAAACTTCTTAAAGCCTGTGCTCCGCAGAAACGAGAAGGGGAGCCGCCCGCCGCGGCACTGCGTGTCCTCAGCCTCCGCCGGCCTCGCGAGGCCGGGTCCTCACCTCGCCCACTCGGATCCAAGGCCGGGACCGCGAGGGTCGCTGCTGATCGCGCGCACTGCTTCTGGGCGTGCAGAGCGCCCGCCAGCATCTATCCTGTTTGATTCGTCACTATTATTATATCTGATGATGCGAAGGCTGGAACGCTCAACCCGAAGTCATTAATGAGCTATTTTATCAACACCGCTGTGGGGATCTTCATTTACATTCGCCCAGGATCGCGGCGCTCACCTCCCGGCTCTCGTCAACAGCGCGGGTGCGGGACTTCGTCCGTCAGCGCTCTTACAACACCATGGGCGCACTGTTAATCGCTTAATACTTTATAAAGTGTAAATATTTTATTATGTTTTTAAGAGAACTATCGATTCTAAATTATTAAACCCCTGAGAAGGGTTATTTAAATAAAGTACGCAGTTATGTACAATTAAATGTACACTGTGGCTAGAGTCTGCACTCTTAAATCTATCGACTTCCCTGGTCCGTTTTCGACAGTAAAAAACATCTACCATTCTGGGCAAAGGGCGAAAATTAGTTTACATTACATTTTAAAGTAAGTAAATAAAATCGCACTTAACATAGAGGAAAATGTCAAATTCGACAAATCATTGCCAGAAATGTATTTTGAGTGCGTCTAGAGTTATGTTTAGTAACTCATTTTATAAATTTCTTTCGATTTTGCAAAGGGAGACATGTAAGAGGTTTTCGGATGTGTGCCCAGTGTGAAGTGTGTTTTTTTCTTTAGTTTTGTACCTAATAAAGGTCTTTTCTGTTTCAAATTACATTTGCTTTTTACTGTACAATTTTTTGATTGATCCTATTTCAACTAAAGTAAGTGATTATTTCCAACGATGAGATACTTTAAGTAACATTTTTACATTTCGCTAAAATTTTCTACGTTTTTAAAACCGTAAATGAGTAAATTTGATGATGGGGATTTTTTTGCTTTTTGGTTTCGTTTTATATTTTTCATAATGGTTTATTTCCAAACATTTTTGAAACAAAGTCACACTTAAGAATTGGCATAAGTACATCTTTTTTTAAAAAAATTTTTGATCCCAAATTCATTTTTGTGAGTTAGGAGACAATTTGCTCAACGTTCAAAGCATAAACTTCACATTTGGGGAACATTTTTATCCCTCGGTTGGCTTCTTACTCTTTTCCTGTAGGCAATAGGCTCCAACCTCTCCCTTTCTCCCATCCTGGGATCTTTTATTTCAGTCAGAGGTCACTGTCCCTCAAAATCAGGCTGACATTTGTTATTTTTAAATCAACAGCTCTTCATGCGCTGGGCTTCAGAGTGAATTTCTTCTGCCTCCCGTACCCTTTCTGTCTTTCCTCAGGCCTCTTCCTTTCTCTGTGGCCTGCACTCCTAACTCAACTCGTAATGACCACGTTGCTTGATTTCTCCCTGTGGACACTGAGGTTTCATGGCCCTGGCTCTGCACCCGGTGGACACTGTCTCGGATGCCTGCCCAGGACCTCGAAGGACTGGCGTGGGATCGAAGGGCCCAGCACGGACACCCGGCCTGGGAAGGCCCAGCGAATCCCCAGCTCCACAGCTCCCAGGTTCGTGTCCAGGCGTTGTGCCCTCTACACCCTGGACAACACGCGGGCACCCCTCGGGGACAGGGACAGTCAGCGGCATTGTCAGCCTTGGAAGGATTCCAGGCGTGGCCTGGGCCTGCCCAGCCTAGTCTGCCTGGCGGGGGGGGGGGGGGGGGGTGGTCACTGCCTGGCAGGGGGTCACTGTCCCCAAAAGCCTACCAGCTCTGAGGCCTAGGCCAGTTCGCCCAGGGCTGTCATGGAGAGGGGAGGCCAGCACTTCCAGGCCCACTGCTCAGGGCGCTGACCCAGGCTGGGGACAGGCCCTGGGACGCAGGTCTCTGCTGCCCCAGCCCCTCCCGACTGGATTCGGGGATACTTACTCGCCATGGCATCCGCGCACCTTCTGCGCACACGGCCCAGCAGATCCACGCCGGCGACCCTTCCCGCTGGCCCGGCCTGCACGGGATGGGGACACCGCAGGGGCGGCGGATGGGGCGGCGGCGGTCCGCGCGGGGCGGGGACGCCCACGTGCAGAGCTCACGGGGGAGGGAGCCTGGCTCTAGCGGGGACAGCGGCAGCGACCCCCGCGCTCCAGCCCTTTGGCTGTCTTGCGGGGTCTCCTGAGCACCGGGTGGGCTCTGCGGCCGGGCCCCGCGGGCGGGTTTCTGCGTGGACGCCGCGTGCCAACGCCGCGGGAGCAGAAGGGCCGGGCCGGGCCCGGGGCGCGGGGCGGGATCCTGCGGGGCTGGCACGGCCCGGCCAGGGACCAGGGCCTCGCCGCAGGTTGGGTCCCCACCCTACCAGGGCACTCAGGGGCCGCCCGCCCGCGTCCTCTCGCGACAGCGCCACCGCGTGGGCTGCGCGCCACCTGCGGCCCCGGTGCTGCGGGCCGGGTCCCGGAGCGGAGGCTGCTCCAGGCGTCCCTCCCTCCATGCGAACCCGCGATCGAGCGCGCTGTCCCGGCCCTGCCCAGGAGCGGCCCCGGGAGGCCCGGCGCGGCCTCCCTGCGCTCCCAGCCGCAGGACCAGCGCTCCTGGCCCCAGCCGCTCCCTGGAGACCGAGGGACCCTCGGGAACCTGGCCGGCGGGGGTCAGCCCGTCCCGGCGTGGCGAAGACAGAGTCGGCCGCTCTCGGGCGCTCTGGGCTGCGCGAAGCCCGGGGCCGCCTTGGTCGCGAGGCTGCCGCGCTGAGCTCCGGGTGGCGGTGACCACAAGGCCCCCTTCCCGCCCCAGCCTCGCAGACCTGGGAGCCCCCGGGACTCGGGCCTTCCCGGTGGGTGGGGCCCGTGAGAACAAAGCCAACTCCCGTCTTTCCTTTGCGGCCCACCCGCTCTCCCGCCCCAAGGTGGAGCCTGGCCCACGCCACTCGGGACGAGCGGCGCTGCGGCCAAGAGCACAGCCTCATGACCCACGCAGACCTCGTCGTTCGGAAAGCCCGACACTCCTTAAAGCCAGTGCCCCTTAGCCCTTAGAGGTTCGGGCTGTCCCAGCGCCCGGCCAATGCTGCCCTGCCTGCGCTCACCTCTGTGGCCAGTGGCTCCGCTGGCCCTGCCTGGCCTGGGGCGGCGGTCAGGTCAGCGCGGGCACCCGGAGAGCCGCCCAGGGCACCCGCCTGCCCGCAGCGTCGCCTCCACTCGGGCTGATTCAAGAAACTAATAAGGCCAGAAAAATTTATGAGGGGAGCTTTTCCTTTTAGTATCAATAAAGCCTAGTAATTGGGTTTGTTGGTTACCTGAGTTAGTCTCTCTCCCTCTCCCTCTCTGCAATGTTTTCAAAAAATGGCAAGTGTATGTACCTTTCTGTGGGGTTGTGTTTGTTTCAAAAGTCTGCCTAGAGAACGATAATCGTAGCTCCACGAGTGAAGAGTTTTGAAAGGTGAACGGTTGTTATTTAAGAGGGAAAAAATGTTGACAATCGAAAGAGAAACAATATAAGAGGCAATTTAAAGATTTTCCCACTGGCTATGATAGAGAGAAATCCACCTTGTTTACTTAATAGTTTTCATTTTAATTTAAGTTTCACTGTATTCTGACTCATGGAAGGTAGGGATATGTGTGTTGTTTTCAGTATAAGCTTCTATATTGTGATACATTCTAAATATTTATTTTTATTTTCTAATCTTTTTTCAAAGCATGTTGATAGGAAAGAATTTTTCCATCTGGGAACCAAGCCCCAATTTAAAAATTAAAAAGACCTTTTATGAACAATCACTGCAAATAGCCAACTCATTAGTGTTCGTGGAATTACTGCAAAAATCTCTGAACTCTAAAAGCAATCTAAGAGTGTTTTTCTCCAGCCATAGTTATGTGTGTGTCCGTGTGTGTGTGTGTTTTCGTTTGTGTTGTATGGAGGTTAAATGTACCGTTAAGAGGACGTGTTGGAAAAGTGCTGCACTACGATGTACCTAAAGTTAAATTCCCTACCAAATACGACATAACTAGTGCTTACGAATGTCAGTCTAACGAAATGAAGACTATTTCTGAATCCCCTTACCGTTGGGGTCAGATGCTAGGCAGTGAAAAGAAAAGAGATTCAATTTTGCCAAGGTGGAGGAGGAAAATGCTGGCCCCTGAGTGGTCAGGAACACTCAAGCCTGTGCTCTGCTCCTGCGCTCCTGTGTTGAGCTCCTTGTTACTGGGAAATCAGTGAGCTTCCCGTAGTTTGTGTTCGTTTTATGCCGTGAGCCCCAGATTCTGCTGTGCATGTCCTCTGCCAGGTGACTTCCAAGGCAGGCTTATTCAGAGACAGACTGGCCCTGGCACACTCTGGCAGAAAGGGGCTTTCTTGATCCTTCCAACCCTGCCTTCTCTCAACTCCCTCCTGCTCCCAGGCCTGGCGGACACTTCTCCTGGCTGCTGTAGCCCTGCTGGGTGCTGTCAGGGGGAGCAGGTCTGGAGCTGTAGGTCCACCCTCCTAGCTTCAAGCCTTAGCTGCAGGCAGCTGCCCTGCCCGCCCGATCCCCACCTGGCTCAGTGACCACCCTCCCTCATTGCTATCACCGCCTAGCTCAGGAGCCACCCAGGAGCCAACCAGGGCATGTGCTCAGGGAGCTCTGGGCGGCCCCTCGTCCCCCAGCTGGCCATGCTGTGAAAGAGGTGTCTTCTTTGGCCATCCAACTTCTGGGAAGCAGCAAAAAGGATGGCAGGTGTGAGAAGGGTGATAGGAGCCTTAGGGGTGGCAGCTCAGCCTCCCTGACCCACCGGGGCCGGGACTCCGCACCTCCCCACTGCGGGCCTCCACGTGGGCCTGGTCAGTCCCTGCTCTGGGGACCCAGGTCGTCCCTCCTCCCTCACTGCCGCCTGCCAGCCAAGTTTGGTTTCAGTTCAGCTGACAGCTGAGAATGGGACATGAAACCCTGGTTTTCTTTCCTTACTGTCCTTGCCTCATTTTCACTTTCTTCCCTGTTTTTAAAGAACATCCCCAGGCTTGGCTTCTGCCCGACCCTCTACCTCCGGAGCTCTGTGTGCAAGAGCAAGAGGCAGTTTGCCTGTTTATAGTGGGTTTAATTAAAACAGCGGTGCGCCGTGAACTCTGGCCCCCATCAGTGCACTTTGATTGGGAAAGTCAAATAGAATCACATCACGTCTCCTGTGTGGGGCTGCCGCTGCCCACGCTGGGACAGCCTCTCCTCCTTCACTGGCCTTTCAGGACCCCGGTGGATTCGCCACAGCTCAGGGGACGTCGGTTGGGCTGCTGGCCAGCCAAGGCCTTGGGGGTGAAGGGTTTGGGCTGGACCTTCTGGTGGCGCAGGCCCCAGGACCCTCGGGCTGGGCTTTGGGGCTGGGCCGGAGGCCTCCTCCCTCCTAACCCTTCAGCTGCACCAGAGAAGGGCCGCAATTCCAAGGCCCCCACTTGTCATCCTAGCCTCCCCTCCCCCCACTCCTAGGTGTCCAGCTACAGCCCCGAGGCTTTTTTCTATTGTGTCCTGTTGAAAGCCTCAGACAACTGGACTGTGACCCTCCGGGCAGCGTCTGAGCAGGCAGGCCCCATGGCAGCCGTCCACTCAGCCCTCCTGACCCAAACTTCTCTGAGACCCTGGGCATTGGGATGTCCCCGCCAGCACCATCTTCGGCCTTGGAGCAGAAAGGGAAAGAGTGGCAGCCCCTCCAGCGATATCCCAGCTTAGGACAGCAGATGGGAACAGGAGCAGACTGAGCCCAGGAGCAGGCAGTGGAGCTGAGGTTATGGCCTGGGGTGTCCCCTCCTCGCCTAGCCAGCCACTGTGCCCAGCACCCCTGTGACCGCCCACTGCAAAGCACAGACCTGCCTTCAGCTCCCTGACTCCCGACAGTGGATCCAGGGGTCAGTAGGTTTGGGATCCCAAAAGAACCTCCTCCCTTAAGGACTAGAGAAGCAGGCGGGGAAGCTGCTGACCCTGGTGTTTGCTGTCGGTGAGATCTGCAGGCTGGGCTCAGGAAGGCCCAGCACACCAGCCAGGGGGGACAGACACGGGGTCCTCCTGCCACAGGGGAGGAGGCCCTGGGGAAGTCGGAGTTTCCAACCCCCCTTCCCTTCTTAAACCCACCTTCCCTCCGAGGAGCCGGCAGCCCTGGTCAGAGTGGCCCGTGTGCCCCTCCGGTGCCAGGCCACAGGGCCGGGTTCGAGGGCCTTGCCTTCCCGAGTCCCGAACAGCGTGCTGGCACCGCCTCCCTGACCGCACTCTCGAGGGATCGTGTCCGCATCAGCCCTGGGGTGATGACGCCTTCATCCCCTTCCTCTGCTGCTTCCCCAGTGCTGTCACCGCCTGCTGCCTGCCAACAGCCCCGCCTGCCAGCTCGGCCATCTCTGCACTTTGTCACCGAGTCAGAGTATTTGACATCCGCAATTATCTGCAAATGCCCCATCGGTTTGTATATGAAACACTTTTTTTCTTGCCTTAAGGTTGGAATCTGGTAAGTTTCACACAAGTGGTTGGAGGCAGAGGCGGAGGTGGCTGGCCGGGGCCGGGCACCGGGCCGTGAACCCGCGCGGCGAGGCGGGCTGCAGGGAAGGACGGCTGGCAGCTGTGCCCTGCGTCCCACCAGGCGCGGCCCCAGGGGACGCACAGCAGGTCAATCGGACCACCGGGTGGGCCTCGGGCGGGTCCGGCAGTGTGGCTCCGGAGAGGACCGTGCCAGGCCCAGCCGCCCCGCACTGCCCAGGGTTCAGGTCTCCGCCACCGAAGGCGCCAGGGTCAGTGTGGCCCAGCCCACCCAGGGCCACCTGCTCCAGAGCCCCCGCCCTGCCCAGACCTCCCCCGCTCCCCAGGGCGGGCGGCCAGAAGCTGCTGCGCCCCTCGGCCGGCTCCCTCCCCCCCGCGGCCCAGGGCGCTCCCCTCTTCTGCCCCTCTGCTGCCTTCGAGAGAGAGGCCGGCTGTGCAAGCAGAGGCGGAGGCTCTGCCACCGGGGCTGTTCTGGCCAGGGCCACAGAGCCAGGAGCAGACCCAGGGGCAGCCAGCCCAAGTCCCTTCCTGGCCAGCCCACCCAGCCAGCCCATCCAGCCTTGCACTGCCCTGCACCCTGCCCAGGGCCACTTTCTGGGATGGGGTGGTTAGGGTTGCGATTGCTTCCAGGGGCATGGCGCAGTGTGAGTCCAGGCAGCCTGACTGGGTCACATCCCAGGGCCACCTCTCCAGTCCTGGAAGGAAGGGGATCCCTTCCCGGCCAGGTGCCTCTCCGCCCCTTGCCCTTGGTCCCCCAGGGACCTTAAAGTGGCCAGAGGAGGCCACTACAGTGCCTGGAGGAGCTGAGGGCCCAGCCCCTGGCCTGGGTCCCTGGATGGTGACTCCTCCCGCCCCAAGTTCCAACTGGGAGCTGGGTTAGCCTGGCCCCACGTGGAGGTCCAGGTGGGGTGTGGGAGCAGGCAGGTCTCTGCCACCTCTAGGCACATGATGCCCTGGGCCTGAGGAGGAGACTCAGGCAAGAAGCCCAGGATTCGCTATCACTTCACATGCCTGCTCCTCCATAGGCGTGTGGCTCTGTATTCCAAGTTTCTTCCACAGAAACTGCCCCGACGATTGGGCTCCACGTTTCCTGTTGGCTTCCAGGGTGATGCTCTTCAGCATTGTGCTCCCTGCCCGCCCACCCGGTCTGGGTCTGTGGTGTCCTGGGCAGGCCCACTGTGGCACACTTGATGCCCAGGCCTGAGGAGCAAAGCAGGCCCTGCCCAAACCAGCCCGCTACGAGGCCTCACACCTCAAAGCCAGCTAGAGACCCCTGGGCACTGCCTGGGTCCCAACTGGAGGGCCCCAGCCTGTGGGGCGCGCTCCCAAGCCAGTCTCAGGGCCACTGGAGTTGGAGTCAGCGGAGTGGACACATGAAGGTCCCAGGTAGGAGCCGCCAGAGACTCCTCAGCGCCCAGCCTGCCTCTGTGGGCAAGTTAGGGTGTGCCTGCGCCCCTGCCCTGCCCAGGCTGCACCCCACCTGGGTGTGAGCAGCTCCTTGCCTGTGCATGCCCACTCTGCTCCTGGGGCTCCAGGCCCGAGGGGTGCAGCCTTGGGGTCCACCTGGACAGCCCACAACGTCCCCACCTGTGTCTCAGTTCCAAGCCCAAGGCAGAGGCAGGAACAACAGGCTGGGCCACTCCAAGGAAGACAGAAGAACCAAAGGACAGGGAAGGAAGTTTGCAGATGAGAGATCACCTCCTTTCCCCATATTTACACACACACACACACAAACGCGCGTGCGCGGTGTGATCAAAAATATGGTGAATTCTTAAATTTAAAATTGACTGCAATGAAGCATCCCCCGGGACAAATGCCCCTCAGAGTCCTCCCCTCACTTTGAACACACTCCTTCCATCCTTTTCACCACTTCCTGCAGCAGCTCTGGAGTCCTTTCCTGAGTGTCTTTAGTTGCACTGTCTGGGCAGCCTGGGGGGTCTTGAATTAATTCAAAACGTTTCCTTTTCAGGGTCATTTTGACCTTGGGGAAGAGTGGGAAGGAAGTCACACGGTGCCTGATGCATGCCTGAGTGCGTGAGGACGCACTCTGGTGGTTTTAGGAGCTCCCTTTCTGTTGGACGGTGCTCACAGCCCATTTACCATTGTTTCAGTCACACCTCGTAAAGATGCTAGAAAGTAGCAAAGACAAAGGGATGAGAGTGTTCAGAGCCAGGGGAGGCTTCTGGGGGATTCCTGGTGCTGTGTCTGCAATAAAGCTTTAAATGTAAACAACAGTGGTGCCGCTGTCTGGTGCCCCCCCGTTTGCACACACACACATAGGTGCAA